CCGGCCCGGCCCGGCCATCTACATGTATGCAAAAAAGAAAACTTTTTTTAAATCCTCATCTAAAAATGTGATAAGATTATTTTTCGAAAAATTCGTCATTTCCCCTCTCTTCATCCATTTTTTTCAAATCCAAATTCAATTTTTCTCCTCTCTCTTCCTCTAAAAACAAAACTTCTCTTCCTGTGGTCAAGGACCCCAAAATTTTCTTTTTTTTTCCAAAAAAGTGCTCTCTTTGCACTTGTCCATCTTCTCAACCATTCTGACACATTCTAAAACACTTGACAAACTTTTTTCCTTCTTTTTCCTCGTCTTTGAGGTTTTTTGATGCGCTAAGCCTTTGATTTTGTGGCCGCAGACATGGGAAAAAATAGAAATGCCACTAGAAATCATCTAAAATTTCTTAATTTTATATCAAAACTCAAACCTGAAATGTCAAATCCATTACCATCAAAAAATTATAAAAAAAAGATAAATTACTTTTTTCAGAATCATTTCCCGTCGTCGTCGCCCGCCAAACTACAGGATCTCAAATCCACCGTAGACCTGTTGACATCGATTACGTTCTTTCGTATGAAAGTGAGTTTTATTAAGTGAGGGGACATCGGGACAAACAGATAATAGGACGCATTTTTAAATTTCGTTCTGCTGAAAAAGACGGAAACTCTTTGAGATAAAGCACCGGACAAAAATGTATCTTTTTAAGAAATAGTCTAGAATTTTTCGATTCGTCTGAAAATTGTAGTGTACTAAACAAAAATAGAACTTCATTTACAAATTGACAACTTTTTTGTGCAAGCGCGTTATGCAAATTACGAAATTGCAGGTTCTCGAACTAGTGAGCCCACCGCGAGCCTGCACTGTGGTTAGCGAATGCGCGAAAGCCTGCATGCAGCAAACATATCAAATGATGTTCGTCGCATGCGAAGAGCAGTTCGCAATCAACGACACATCGGTCACATTCTGGTACGAATTCATCGACTATATCATGCGAGTCATTGAAGAGGATCAAAAGAGCTATGCGCCGACACTGAATCAGTTTCCACAGGATCTTAACGTCGGAAACTTGTCTGCGGATACCCTATGGACGCTGTACAAGACGGATCTGAAGGTGGCACTTGAGGAGCATGCGGAGAAGAAGAAATGCAAAACTCCGGAATACATGAATTTGTATTTCAAGGTTAAAGGATTCTACTTCAAGTATATCAGTGAGCTGAGCAACTACAAAAATGGTATTCCGGAGTTTCCGGCGTGGTTCATTCCATTTGTTATGGATTGGCTCAATGAAAATGACGAGCACTCGATGGACATTTTGAGAAATGCATATAATGTGTAGGTTTCTTTTTTATTGGAAGTCTTTGATGGATTAGAGCTAAATACATGGTTTCAATGGACAAAGGACATAATCCTACTACAGTAGTCCTCATCAGTCACAGAAGTCATGATAGCTTCTTCTAAATGTATTAATCTTTATGTTACCAAAGCTACAATAATGGATTTTTGAAATTTTCTAGAATTTTTATAATTTTTTGGTGATTTTGGTAATTTTGAATTTTGGAAAACGTCATAATTTTCTGAAATTTTCCGGGGTTTTCTGGAATTTCCTGGAATTTTCTGTAATTTCTAGAAATTTCTGAAGTTTTGAACTTCTCGGAATTTCTGAAATTCAAAATTTTTAAAATTCCGAAATTCCAAACTTCCGAACTTCCGGATTCTCGAAAACACATCCATACAAAAACATTATTTCAGCGACAAGGCGGACAATTTCCCACAAACATCAGAGCACACGAAATTCTCCAACAGTGTCGTTGACGTCTTCACACAACTGAACGCTGCTCTGAAGCTGCTCAAACAGATGGACTGTCCTAATCCAGAAGTGTCGGCGGACATGATGAAGCGATTCAGTAAAACTCTCAATAAAGTGCTCCTCGCGTACGCCGATATGGTACAAAAAGACTTCCCCAAGTTTGCGCATGACGAGAAGTTGGCGTGTATTCTGATGAACAATGTTCAGCAGTTACGGTAAGCTTATAAAGTAGCTTCTCCTTCAACCCGTAAACCTGTTTTCAGTGTTCAACTTGAGAAAATCTATGAAACGATGGGAGGTACCGAACTCGACGAACACATTGGACACGTGCTTACTATCCTTCAAAAGAAGTTGAACGCGGTGCTCGACAAGCTCTCCGCAGAATTCGTTGCTACATTGGAACCCCATATTCATGAGCAAACAATCAAACTGGGCATGCTGCTGGTTAAGATCAAGGGACCCCAACTGCAAAAGACGCAGGTCCAACCAGAAGCCGATGCTGTTCTGGAACCTCTCATGGATCTTCTGGAAGGTTCGCTGAGACGATATGCAGATCAGTGTGAAAAGACAGTGCTCAAGTACATTCTCAAGGAGTTGTGGAAAATAACAATTGTGAATATGGAGAAGAGAGTTGTACTACCCCCTCTGTCAGATAAGGCACTTCTCAAACAACTTCCAAATGCAAAGATCGGAGATGTTACGAAGCTCATGTCTACTAATATTCAAAGTATCAAAGGAATGAACTCTGTGAAGGATATGATGGATATTGCTAGAGAATCAGAGAAATCGCTTACTCCGAAACAATGCACGGTGCTGGATTGTGCTTTGGATGCTATTAAAGACAGTTTCCATGCGTCTGGAAAGGGTTTGAAGAAGTCGTTCTTCGAGAAATCACCGGAACTTCAATCCCTGAAATATGCTCTCAGTTTGTATACACAGACAACCGAGCAATTGATCAAGACGTTTATTACAAGCCAGAGACAACAAGGTAAGAGGAAGAAGATCAAAGGTTTATTGATTTATCGATTTTTTGTAGATCTTCCAAGTCAAGAACAACCAGTTGGAGAGGTCAGTGTACAAGTCGATTTATTCAGTCATCCAGGAACTGGCGAGCAGAAAGTCACCGTTAAAAGTGAGCAATTTTCTTATTTCAATTTTTTAAAATTTGGATTCAAATCGAATTTTCAATTTTCCAGTCCTTGCTGCCAACGATCTCCGCTGGCAAACGTCATCAGCATTCAAGCCATTTGTCGAAGTCCATCTCGTTGGACCACATCTCTCGGACAAAAAACGCAAATGTGCCACGAAGAGCAAACCTGGAAACTGGGCTCCGAAGTTTAATGAAACGTTTCATTTGTAAGTATGATCTACTGTAATCATACAGTAACATATTTTTAGCTTCCTCGGAAATGAAGGAGAACCTGAGCACTACGAGCTCATGTTCCAAGTCAAGGACTACTGCTTCGCCCGTGAAGATCGCATCGTGGGTGTTGGTGTCCTTCAGTTGTCGGCTGTCGTTGATCAAGGTATACTGTTTGCGCCTTTTATACTTTTAATCAAAAATTTGTTACAGCGGGATCCTGCGCAATGTGGGTACAACTCGGTACTCGTCTTCACATCGACGAGACTGGTCTCATCTTGTTGAGGATTCTATCGCAACGACAGACTGATGAGGTAAGAGAGAGAGAGAGAGAGAGAGAGAGAGAGAGAGAGAGAGAGAGAGAGAGGGGGGGGGTGCAGAGAAACGAGAGTGTCTGCTTTCTCTGCGTCCAGTGTAGACTTGAAAGATCAGCTCCGCGTCACTTCGAAACCGGTTCAAAACCGTGGTAATGCAGGTGAATGGATGAATTTCAGACTGCAAAAACAACTTTAGGGTTTTAAAATATGATTTTCCTGGTAGAACAAATTAAAGAATTTTTCTACTTTTGAGAACATCAAATTTTGAATTTTTCCGATTTTCAGAATGTGTTCTACCATAAAAAAGCGTATTTGAAAAAACAAGCCTAAAGTTGTTTTTGTAGTCTGAAATTGATCCATTCGCCTACATTACCACGGTTTCGAAATGGCCGGTTTTTTGACGCGAAGCCGAAGGATCCTAGGGGCGCGGCGCTTAAAGGAACCCATAACTTTCTTCAAAACAAATATAACAAAAATCTATAAATTGATGAAATGTGTAAAATTTTAGGCTTTTCCTATAAATTTCAGCCGGAAAGCTTACCCAGGGGGAAAGTTATTCACGATTTATTCCAAAATCCCAAAAAATTACCAAATTGAAAATTTGAATTTTTTCCTTAAAAAACTTGAGATTTTTCATTTTCCAGGGGACACCCCTGGAAAGTGTATAATTGTGACGCGGCCTAAAAAGTGACTTTTCAGAACTGTGGGCATAAAAATGGCTCAATTAATCTGGAATTTTGTGAACATAGGTTCTTCCACACTCTGAATCGAACCAGGGATGTGCGTAAAATTTTTATTTTACGAATTACAAGCTCGTAAAATCGTAAAATTCGTTAAATCCGTAAAAAAACTGAATCTTTAATTGAAATGGAAAAAAAACTGCAGTTTTATTATTAAGCAATTGGCAAATGGTCCGCAAATGTTGAAAATCGTAGAACCGAATGCTTCTATAGGGTTTCAACAATTTTCTATATTTTTTTTTCCTTAAAAAATGCAAAATTGTGAGAAAAACGCATTCAAATTTGGAAAAAAAAATATTTTGAAAATGAAGCAAAATTCATGCTTTAAAATGAGATGTGAGCATAAAATCAACTCAAAACTAGATCAAGAACATGAAAATGAACCGGAATACTGTAAATTCTGAACAAAAACGGTGAAAAAACACTCATCCAGTTTTTACGAATTTTACGGATTTAATTTTACGAGTACCAAAACACCTTAAAATCCGAAAAATTCGTAAAATTCGTAAACGTAAAATCACATCCCTGAATCGAACTGCATTCACAGAATTTAGTTATCTTTTTTGGTTTTTTCGGAACACTCATTTGGGAGGTGTGTCCTATAATTATGACGCGCACTGTACCTCAAAAGTTACAACCAATCAAATCTTGCAGGTCGCCAAAGATTTCGTCCGCCTGAAAACCGAATGCCGTTACGAGACGGAAACCGTGATGGCCGCATCGGCTTCCAGTCAAAACATCAATAGAACGTGATAAAAGTGCCTTTAAAAATCCTTTAAAAAAACAAAGCAATAGTTTCCCCACCCGTTTTACTTTTTTCCCCAAACTCGAGTACCTGTAAATTTTGTCTTCTGAGATTCTTTTTTTTACTTCCTACATTTTCAAATCTTCTAATTCTTTCAAATGTTCTTTTAACTACAACATGGGTTTTAATTTTTTTGTTGTTTGTTTGTTTTTTGCGACCAAAATTTTATATATTTTACTCCCTTTTTTCGGTCACCAATTGACCGTTGCTTTTGTGCCTTTTTTGGGATCACCCAAAAATAATTAAAATTTTAATAAAGTTTTATGAAATATGAATCGAAACGTGTGACCATTTGACCTCAAAATTGTCGCCGAAAGTTGACACAGTTAGCAACGTGGCGTCTGAAACTGCCAGCAAGCACAAAAAAGACTCTGAAAATTTCAAAATCCCAAAGATGCTCCGCTCGATGCTCACTGAGCTCCGACGCTCGTCTCAACTGCAATGGACACTGTTTTCAGTGGTTGTGAATATGTCATTAACTCTGGCAATTTGGATTGGAATCTATCATATGGAAGTGAATTCTGAGCTCAGTAAAATGTACTTTTTGGATGATTCGTTCAATTGGACAACCGGGAATCCGGCGTTAGATGGATTGGTAGGTAGTCAAGATCACTTCCTTCAAATACATTAGTTTTTATGTTTTAAGCTACCGTAAACAATTTCGGAAACTCCAAAACTTGGAAACTTAGAAAATTAGAAAAAAATCTGGAATATTTTTGGACACAATTTAACTTTTGTGTCTTCTTCCGAAGTTTTGAACCTAGAGTTTTTTTTTGAAAAGCTCTGGAGTTATTCCGAATTCTAAATTTATTGAATTCCTGAAATTTTTTGAAAAAGAGGTCATGATGTTCGAAACTACAGTAATCGCAATTCGTAATTCTACTACAGTATTCCTCGTCAGTCCCAGTAGTACTTCCTCCTCCATATGCAATAATATTTAAATTACCCAGCTACAGTAACCGATTTCCGAATTACTGAATTCCTAAAGCTTTCGAATTTCGGATTTTTTTTCTAAATTTCGGGTTTTCAAAAATTTCTGAATTCTTTAGTTTTTTCATATCTGAATTTGTGAAATCTCAGAACCTAGGATTATTTTTCAGATCAACGGCTTCTGTACCATCCTGGTTCTCGGTTGTGTCTCTTTCGTGATGCTTGCTTTCGTTCTTTACGATTTCCGTCGAATCGTCAAATCATGGCTCACATTTTCGTGTCTTCTGATCCTTTTCGGTGTTTCTGGACAGACGATTTATGATTTATTTTCTCAGATTTTTGATCAAAATGATGAGAATCAATTCATTTTGACAGTGGCATTGACTGTAATTCCAACAGTTGTCTATGGATGTTTGGGCATTTATGTGAGGGTTTTTTTATTTATGTTTGGAATTTCTTAGTTTTTGGAATCTTAGAACTTGAGAAACTTAAATTCCAAAAAAAAATCAAGTTTTCCACAAGCTTAGCAGAATGTGAAAAACAGTCAATTTTGAAGCCCTACAAAAGTTGTACAAAATTTTTGGACTTATCTAAAGATTTCAGAGTAGACGAATCAAAAATAGAGCTTTATTTTTGTAGTTGACCACTTTTCTGTGCAAACGCGCTATAACAAGATATATCAAGCGGAAGTGGTAGGCCCGCGCCGCCACCTCCCCCTTCGTATAGAGGTGCGACGCCTCTATGCCTCTTATCTCATTAGGGCGCGTTTGCGCAAAAAAGTTGTCAATTACAAAATTAATGCTCTATTTTTGTTTAGTTTATTCTGTGATTTTCAGGTAAATAAGAACATTTGGAAGTGCTCCTGTAATCTTCAAATTAGGATTTTTCATTGAAAAAAACACTTTAAAAATTTTTTTTAGTCCTTTTCCATATTCCAAGTTTCAAAAAATCTAAAAGTTTCCAGGCATTCCTTGCCAACGGATCACTCCTACTTCATCAATTTTTCGTCGTCTCCAACTGTTCATTGATCGCAGTTTTCTATCTCCGAGCATTTCCAAAACACACGACTTGGTTTGTCCTGTGGACTGTTCTTTTTTGGGGTGAGCCGGGATTTTTCTGGATTTTTCTGGAATTATCGGAAATTGAAATTTTCGTGGAACCCAGATTTTTAAACACAGAAAGAGTGTAAAAATTTTCAGACTTGTTCGCAGTTCTCGCCCCAATGGGACCACTCAAAAAAGTCCAAGAAAAAGCGTCCGACTACAGTAATAACGTAAATTGCGGCCTAGAAAATCATGGCCTAGAAAAAAACTCTTCCAGATTCTGAAAATCCTCATGTTTGCCGCAGAAGACAAACGAGAGAGTGCTGGAATGGATATGGCGCAGGATTCTCAGGAAAATTTGAATGACGAAAGAAAACTTCGAAAAGATGTAAAGGAATTGATTCAGTTGTATTCGAAACAGGATGAAAAGGATGACGAATTCCTACAAAAAATCCGACAGAGAAGGAATGCGATTAATCCGGATTCAGGAAGCACTGCGCATAGTCCCATGGGTAAATGTGCTCCATTGATAACTCAGATGGACCTCAACTTTCAGTGACCACCGAACCATCGCCAATTGTCCTGAAAGAGAAGAACAGCGATGAAGAGTTATTCGATAATGAATCTGATACAACAGAATCATCTTCTGAATCCTCAACGTCATCTGAATCTGTGTTCTCATCATCTGATGTTAGTACTGCTGCCGAATGTGCTCCAGAAGAGTGGAATGAGTTGATTCATCAACAAAACGAATTTGATCAGAACGATGCTACAGTAACTGCTGCTGACGCTTTGAATGATGGAGGTAACTTATAATGATTTTCAGTTGAGAGTGGATAATTTTGGATTCCTACGAAAGTAGTCCAGAATTTTTCGATTTATCTGAAATGTTCAGAGTATATTAAACAAAAATAGAGCTTTAATTTTGTAGTTGACAACTTTTTGCAGATACCCGTAATGAGATATGACGCATAAAAATACAAAAATGAAGCTTTATTTTTGTTTAGCATACTCAAAAATTTCCAGTCAAATCGAAAAATTCTGGAAGACTGTTTTCTGAGATATGCCGATTTCCAGAAACTGTTCGTCTTGGATTCGGAGACTTTGTTTTCTATAGCCTTCTAATTGGACAAGCAGCCACTGGTGGATGCCCGATTTCTGTTGGATTCGCCGCTTTTGGAATTCTTTTTGGTCTTATTGCAACCCTTACTGTACTTTCTAGCGGTAAATATTACAATAATATTTTTGCAATCTCTATGAAAAGTTTCCAGAAGAGTCCACGACTCCTGCTTTGCCATTACCTGTCATCTGTGGAACTTTTTGCTATTTCGTTTCCAGATTTTTGGTCGATTCGATTCAGGAATTTTGGGTCTAGAGAGGATGAGATAAACTTGTTTAAAACTTTTCGCTGATAAATAAAGTGATTTGTAATATTTTTCGGATAATTTTCTATTAGATGCAGTTTTACAAAAATGACATATAAAATAAACGTGTATGATTCATATCTGTCTTCTTTCACTTTCTCTCTCCCATTGGATGAACGATCGTTTCCAAAATCGAAGTTTCATATCATTCGATAAGGTTTACATTCTCTAGAAAAAAAAGTGCGTCCCGCTTTTTATGTTTCTTATCAGTTTCATAAGCCGTTAATTTTTTGTCTAGGGTAGCAGGAAAAAAATTATGGAAATGAGAATAACAGTTTAAAGTACGTTCTACTGTTCCCATGATTATTGGTTTCGTCAAAACAGCCATTTTATTTATCTGTTAGTGATTCATAAAATATGAAATTTATCTGTTTTCTGTTTTCCGTTCTCTTTGTTCGCTCTGATTCTTCCTTCTCTGATTGTGAGGCACACACTTGGGTCCAAGGCAACGGGTCAAAAAACGCGCCCCAAATAACTTTTAGGCCAGAAGAAACTCAGAAATTTCGAAGCTGGCGTGAATTTGACCTAATTAATTTTAATCGACGAGTTGCAATGTGTGATTTTTTCGCGCAACGTTTGAAAGTTTGATCCTCAGTCAAATAATTCAGAAGCAGTTTTTTCTAAAATCTCAATTTTATTGGGTCGCGATTTCTAACCCGTTGCCTTCGACCCAAGTGGGCACATTGAGAACATATTTCTCGGAAAACTTTTTTTTTTAAGCTGAGAGTTGAACTTTTCAATTTTTCGATAGGAGGAGAAAGCCGATGATAATGACTAAAAGTGCCGGAACAAATATTATCGTAATCTTCAAAAAGTTTTATTTTTATTGGACTTCTTCCTCTTGATTTCGGGAAACTGTCTTCTAGTGTTTTCAGAAAACCTCGCTCGCCATTCGCAACCGCGGATTTTGCCAGAGCATGTTGTGCGATTTCTCATTTTCTCACATTTTAGTATTTCAGCAGTTTTTCACACATTTAGAACTA